CAAAGAACACAGCGGTGCGCAGACATGCCGGGGAAAGGGAACGGAGCTACGCGCGGTCCGATACACACGGTGCCCGTGCTGAGGGAAATGAACATTCGTTCCAGAGCCATGAAAAATGGTGACAGGGTCTGTACCGTGTCTGGAGGGAAAAGTACAATTAAGGTATTAAGGTACCGAATAGACATGATCATTCTATGGACTTGTTTTCCCTTAAATAGGAGTATTTGACATACACCTCTTCTTGAATAAACACAGAGTCTCCCCTGTTTTTTTCATGGAACACATCTGTATCTTTTCCCAGCTTTTAAAACGAACCACTTGTTTCCACCAGCTACCAGCCTTTTTTGAATGGTTGTTTTCCTTCAAAAGACAACAGTTGTGTGCTCCTGCACTGTTACCTATATTGTCGAACAACATTGTCAAACTTTGTTGATATCCTTCCTAATCATGATTATATGTTGTGGGTACTGACACAGGCAGGGCCTAATAGAGCCTGGAATAGTTTGTGCAGAAGATATCATTGGGAAAAGCCATGAGCTTGATGAACTGCCCTGTTCTGTGTCAGCATCAAGGCCAATATGTTCCCATTTCTATTCCAGAGGCAGTGTTTCAACCAACAAAGAAACAAATACCTTCAAACCCAAAGTATTCCTTGAAGCTACTCTCTAGCACTCTCCCAAAATAAGACTTGTCAGTGTTAGGATCCTCTCCAAAGGCACTGAGCATGGTGACAAGAAGATTAAAGTAGCAAAATCAAGAAGACAGATGAGACTGAGCAGAGAAAGTAATGTGGAACGGGCTGTGGAGAACTTAGAAGCTGAGGGAAGAAGACAGAAAAATTAGAGTTAATGTAAAAAGTTAGGGAAAAGAGGGAAGGAAACAGGAGCATCTAGCAAGATGTTCGACGGGAGAGGGCATGTGGAGGTGCTAGCAGTGAAAAGGCAGGTAAAAGGTGAGCTTTATTGAACAATAATAAGCAACACAATTTGGAAGAAGCACAAATTCAGTATTTAGCAAAAAGAAGATTAAAATCTCAAAGTACTTCAGTGATTCCAAAAATGTTCAAATTAGGGTTTGGTTGGGGTTTGTTGATTTTTTGTTTTGTTTTGATTTTTGTTTGGTTGTTTTTTTGTAAGTAAATTAAAGACACATAGTTTAGTCAGAATTGACATCACTCCAGAAATGGGTTAAATGTAAAAACAGTAAGTAAAGAGGAAGAAACCAGCTGCAGGAAGTGTTCTTTTAAAAATACAGATTACTGGAAATAAGAAGCTGGTGTTGACTGAGATTTGTGTAGGGTAGGGAACTGTGGTCACAGTTCTTACAGTAAATGCAGTCCAAGTAGTGGCAAGAGAAAGATTTAAAGTGTAAATAGGAAACACAGGCTGTTATTTGATCCTAACATAGGCTTCTATTCTATTCTATTCTATTCTATTCTATTCTATTCTATTCTATTCTATTTTTTATTGGATATGAATTTTAGTATGAGAGCTTGAATTTTGTTGAAAGGAGATGGTATGGGAAAACAAGATGAGAAGGTAAATTGTCAGACTTGGCTTAAGAAAACGCATCAGAGGAAAGTGGAGAGAACAAGCTGTAACAAGAACTTGTAAGAGCTGGGTTGGCAAGGGAAGAAATAGCACTGAGGAAACTTCCAAAACACTATTAATGCACACTGAAGAGATGAGTGCTCAGTTCCTACATGCAAAAAAGAAGAGTGAACTTTAAGAGTGACATTTAACTGCTACAATGAAAGCAAAGAACACAATAAACAGAAGATGAAGGAACGATAAAAGGTGCTTGACTAGACTTTTCTCCCCAGAGAAAAGGCAAGTTGGAGTCTCAGTTCCCACAAATATTTTGAGAGAAATTAACTTGTTCCAGGAAAACTCAGGGAGAAAAAACCAAAACAGATGTTCAGATCAGACAGAAATTGTAATGATTGTTTGCACAATGTGGGTTACTCTGGCAAATGCTATACTGAAGAATATTCTTATACAGTTTCTGCTTTGAAATTTGTTTTATTTACATTTCTTCATGGCCATTTTGTTAACAACTTTCAATATTTTTAGAAATCAAAGTACATTGCAAATTTACATATCCAGAAATGAGACAGGTTGCATTTCAACCACTGAAGTGATGAAAATTTCATCAGAAACAACATTCTTTGATTAAATAAGAACACCAGTTCAAAATAGCTGTGCCTAAATCCTGTACCTGCATTTCTTTTGCCCAAGTTAGCAAGAAGTGAGAACTCAACTTTTCAACATCATTTTTCTTTTTTCAAGTATACAGTAATTACTAAATACATCTTTTCATTATTCCAATACCACAGGTAAAATTTTAACCATGTTGCACAGCCTTTTTTTTTTGGGAAGCTTCAGAAATAAGGAAAATACAGAACACATGGAAATTACACATCAGCTAGTTGAAATGCTTAATAAATACAGAAGAGCTTATCAAGATTTAAAAAAATGCTTGTTTGATCCAATAATTAAAGCTCAATAAATAAATGGGATTTTTGATATTGAACTGAAGCAAAATCAGACTCTACAGTCTTAAGGAAGTTTTTATTGTATTTGAGATAAAACTCTGGGTTAAAAGCTTCAATAAACACCACTTGCCACGTGATGACCAATATTACTTGAGACATTTGTCTGTTTGAAGAAAAGTTAAAACTAGCCTATAAATAATAATATAAAGCTCAAACAAGCAAATACTGTCACCTCCCTTTTTTTTTGGTCTGTAAAATTCCACTCAAAATCTGCAGGTCGTATTTTTGATGAAGTTCTATGAATTTCTACAGACTTTCAAGGACTCACATGGTAGTTATTCCTTGGGTTAAAGAAGCATGAAATGAGAACAGGTGATATAAGACAGTATTTCTTCATGAGGCCCCTTTTGTCACATTACATGTCACAAGCATTTCATTTTTTAAGGTTCTGTCAGGAGCCTCACAGCAGGTCCATACAGAAAATCATCTTGATGAATGTGTCATTTTACAATACAGAAGCGACTCCAATTAATCTGTGTATGCAGGGAGGCAGCCTATAACAAGTAGTGTGTTGTAAATTCAAAACCTTTTTTTAGTACACACTGACTTCTTAAACTATTAAAGCTCTTCTAACCTTCTTGACACAACCCCTTACTGCTTCAAGGCTTGTTAATGAGGTAATGGATAGGACATAGGACCATGTCACTGTTGCCAGGGGAAGTGAATGGGAAATTGAGAGTATAGTAACAGTAGCAGTTCTAAAATTCTTCCTCTCTTCTTCAGCTTGTTTAAACATTGAGATTGTACTCTGGATTTGTTTAATCTATGTGTATGTAGGAGTGGGGGGCAGAATGGGGGTTTCAGGTTTCTCTGGGAATAGTGGTGAACTGGGATAAGGAAATATGTAATTATACTTTTACAGGAATGTTACACCTCTGAAATTCTCTTACAAGGACTGGTATTGTTCCTGTTGAACACAGTTTTAAAATCCCATTAATCCTAATGGACAAAGTCATCAAATCCATAGTGGACAAAGATCTCCATGGCAAAATTATAGGAATCAAGGAGGTTTTCACTTGATGGTATTCTATAAATCTGTATAGAACAAGCCATCTTGCTTCAGTATTACACAATGCAAGATTAAGGGGCGAACTCAAATGTGAAAATGCAGCTCATCTGCCAAGAAAAAAAAAAAAAAAGGAAATAGATTCAGGCAGGACACTTCCTCCTTTTGTGTAATTACCTCAGCAAAAGATCTGCACGGCTAACAAAGTCTCTGGCAATGAGACAAGAATAAAAAAGCTTAGTGAGTGTCTAAACAAGGTTTCCCCCCTCATTTGCCTTGGCTTCTTACAGAATATCAGGAATAGTAGTGATACCTGGGGGGCTGGGACTCGCCCTAGGGCTAAGTTGGGCACTCTGGGGCCCCTTGCAGTTACACCAGCACGGTGCCCAGCTCTTCTGGGAATGACTGTCTCTCTCTCCATGCCCGAGCCAAAATAAGCTCAGCTACACTTAATTGGCTTCCAGCTGATCATAGCTCATGCAGCTGCCTCTGAGCTCTGCCCAGGGATTAACCTGTGCAAGCTCAGGGTACTCACCCAGGCTCCTCCCCAGCCCAGATGTGGTGCAGGTTGATGACCAGAGCTCAGGTGCTCTCCCAAGGATGCTGGAAGACCTTTCCCACAGGCACATAAACCCCATCTCAATGTGTCTCCTTCCTCATGTAACAGGGAGAGCAGCCACATAATTTTCAAACTGTGTGGTGACTTGGTTAGCCATGGGAATTTTCTTTCTGTGATACCCTTAAGAATTGCAGAATAAGTTTACCAGGAGGACATCTAGAGAAAGAGCTGACAGTGATTAAAATACCTTTGAACTCTTTTAGTATTACCACATGAGAAGCCCACACATAATGTGTTTGCAACAAAGTTTGCACTTTCCACACCAAGAAAAGCAGTTTTCATGACTGGAAATACCTACCAACTTTGGGCTTTTTTAAAAAATAAATGCGTGAATCAGCCCTTTAAATCTTGGTGAGGAAACAGAGTTAAGGAACAGACTCCACCCCTCAGTGAGTTAGTGAGGGCTTACAAAAAATCAGTTGCACAAGCCAGTTAAAAATAAAGCAGTGGCTGGAGCAGGGAGGCAAAAAAGAATTGGGACTACAGGCTATTGAAAATACTTTCTCTGTCTCAACAGGAACAGACTAGCTGAGAACATTTACTTAAATTCTTCTTAGGAGAATGTTTATACTTGTATTGAGATAATCCTTGTGGGGCTGATTTGATTTTGGCCTTTAATGTGTTTAACCAGCTTTGTGTCAGAGACAAGTTATATGGAGCTGTGTTTTTTGAACTGATTGCATTTTTTCTGCTAAAGAGAGAAGTTTTACTCAATTTCCAAGTGAAACATCAAATTATCTAATTAGGGAAAAGCACACATAGAAAAGAGAAGTTAGCAAATGAGGACAGCTTTAGCAAATAATTTGTTTTTTAACTTAAATAACTTAAATACCTAAATTTGCAGCTATTAAGTTTCTCTTATAGTACTTACAAATCAAGAGAGACCAAGCAGCAATAATACCTCCACAATGCATAGAGGGTTCTGAGTAGGCAATTTGCATTTTCTGCAATTCAGAACATTATATTTAGCACATAGTGTAGTTTCCCTGTGGGTGCACAGCAATAGAAGTCAAAACAAACAGATACAAAGCGTTTTAAAAACAGCATTTCAGATGACGCATTGCCTGCTTGAAATGACAAGTCTGTACATTGCAGGGTAGGGCTAATATCCACCTCTCCTTTATAATTTGAAAGTCTGTGTTGATTTATTTTCACTCCACTCCATGTGACACAGGGCTATTTTAAAGCCTTTTGGGAGAAGAAGAAAAATTTCACTGTAAAGAAACCATCTACCATGAAATTTTAAAAGTGTTTGGAAAGGAAACTCAGGAGATTTTTTTCTCAAAGCCCATTCAATCATCCTTTATTTGGAACCGCTTTTAAATACTCTTCTACTGCAATGGGAGAAACTTCTCCATACCAGCTTTGAAGCCAGATGTGTTCAATGTTCATTTTCATGAAGAACCACTCATAGCTACGAGGCCACTTTCTTACCACTGGGTGCCTGGAGGGACAAAGAAAAGCAAAAAAAATACTAGAAGATGTGCCAAAGCATATGCATGGTCTGCTTTTTTCTTCAGCCTGGTGTGCTCAGCTAGAGTGAAACCTGAGATATGAGAACCACCATTCATCTTTTTGGCCCTTCCTTGCTGCAAGCTTTATGATCTTCCTCACCCCAGTCAGGAGAGAACTGCCACACAGGCAGCCAGCCATCACCACCTTCCCCCACTGCAGAACCCTGTCTCTGAAGATAGATGTTGTTTGGTCTCTGAGGAAGTGAAACATAGTTAGAGAAAACTCTTTGAATGTATGTCAGGGTTGTGCTTGTATCTGTTTAAAGGAAAGAGCATCCTGAAAATACTACATCTTTGGTAGCAATTGTGGTACAGAGAGAGGACTAATAAAACTGGGCCGAGCATTGTCTCTGCAAGCTGTCACCTCCGACAGCCGTCTCATCCTGTATTTTTCTCTGGTCTCATCCTCTCATTTCTCTGGTCTCCCTTACAGCTAGGTCACACAGGTTCTCCCTGGCTGGGTGCAGATGTCTGCTCCCCAAACCCCAGCAGGTGTAGCTGTGGGAAGCTCAGCCGTGATGCACAGAGTGGATACCACAGTTCAAGTCAGTGTTCACAGGAACATGGGTGGGAAGTGCTGCAAGTCTGGGCAGGGTTGGCTCACTGCCCTCTGCTCCTGCAGAGGACCCTTGAGCAGAGGTGCTTGGTTTGGCAACTTCTTGGTTTCCCTCTCATTGGGAAAATGGTGTTTCCTACCATTTTCTGAGTTGTCCCTTTGAGCACCTATGATTCTGGGGTTGGTAAGTGGCATCAGATGCTGCTGGCACTGGATGTGTCCCAACAGCCCTCACTTTATTATTCTGACTCTTGCACCCTGACAGCAGAGCATCCTCTGCTGAGGTGCTGGTAGACTCTGGATCACATGGAAATCTAATTCCTGTGAAGTTTGTAAAGAAGGCTTGTGTGTCAATGTGGCTCCATCTGTTCATGGTCCCATTTTTGCTATTGGTGGCACACACACTGACAGAGTCCCACCCTGACCCCATCCTGTAGGTCAGAAGGAATATCATCTCTGGGCTGTTTTGGATCCAAGCTCATCCCAGTTTCCCAGCAGTATTTGATTGACCAGGCAAGGTGCACCTGGAGGACAATCCCTGGCAGCCTGTGTGGGAGGTGTGTGCTCCCGCTAAGGTTTGGGTTTTTCACGCTGTAATTCTGGAAACCCACTGAAGGGCATGGGGGCACACCCTGTGTGTGTGCTACACATCTGGGTTGTGCTTGCATCTGTTCAAAGGAGACTGTTCAGTCAGTACTATGGCTTTGAAGCAGCTGGGACGTTAGGAGATGTAATTAAACTTGTAAGCTCCACCCTGAAAATGTTTGTAAACCCAAAGGCAGCAGACCTCTGCTCTGTCTCTGAGTCCACTACCTGTCATAAAGTGGGGTAGAATATTTAAAGATAACAAATACACCATGGAATTATGGAATCTCTCCTTGGAACCAGTGACATATCTTCATAATCCCCAGATTATAACACGTGTGCCTTACCAGAGTCCAACACTAACTAACTGCATTTCCATATTTCATTTCCTCAAGAGTTAAAAGGTCTGTTATTCCAAGCCACGCAGAAGCCAGCATGATTCATGGCCCCAAAGCAAAGGTCAGGCTTGTTATTTCTCAGATTTTCTGTACCAAAAGGCCACATTTGTGTATTTGTCTCAAACCCATGGGTTGCACTCTTCTATGTGCATGTTAGATACAGACCTGGAAAACATTGCTTGCTTGGCAAATTCTACTTCCTCTGGAGGCACCGTGACCATCTGTCCTGTGAGAGTCAGCCTGGCGCACCTTGGATCCTCTGGATCAATCACGTTTTTTCTGTGCACAGAGAAAATTGCTCATGAGTAACAGCTTGCTTGCATTTCTTAAGGGTTTTTGGAAAAGTGTGGACTCCTGCTCACATATAAAAAGCTTTGTCAAGCCTTGAGGGTCTTCTCTACTCCCAGCTATACTGTTTGGTGGAGGGGGGAAGTCTGGTAGGAACACTCGACTGACACATAGCTCTGCTGTAGATAGTTGATTAATCTTAATTTATGCTCACAAGAATTGGATTAGTATATACTGGATTGTAAAAAAATGTGAAAATGGCAGTATTCCCAGGCAGATGTACAGACCTGTATTCAGGATTCTGAGAAGTAGTGAGATGGTTAGTCTGTGTCTATGCCTACAGAAAAGAGTATGAATATGTGTATCTGTATGTAAAACATAAGGTCTTTTCATTGTGCTTATCCTAGAAAATCAATCCTTGTTCATTTTTTACCCATTTTTCAAGTGTTTTATACCAAATAGAAAAGTTCTCCAATTGCCTTCAGACCAAGCCAGGGAAGGTATTTGCTACTTTTTGGCTCTTTGTATATAGTAATAATAAATAACTCCCATTAGTAACTGCAATGCAATTGCTGACTCTGACATATACAATACAAGGATATAAATCATAAGTAAATCTACCAATTGCAAAAAAAATAGTGTATGAAATGAATGCAAAGGCTTGATCCTGGCAAATACTGAGCAGCCCAAAGTCCTGCTGCCAGCAGTTTGAGACTGCTCAGTGTCTCAGGGAACCATGTTCCCATATCAGCCCAAGAAACTACATTAGGAAATGAAAGCTGCATTTCTTCTTTGCTGTGTCTTAATCACAGTAAATTACATCTCATCCATGTACATTTTTACTTAAAGATCTTGGCTTGAGCCCTTTAGCCTTAAGTGTGTGCAGTCTGCAATGGCTTCATTTTTGGTTATATTTCTCAATGTGTGTCTAGTGTATGCAGGAAACATATGGGCATCCTCCTGCAGCTAATTTAACACCTGCAGATTCTCCACAGATGGTTATGAGAGACTGTGTAGCTCATTAGATAAAATAGCTGCTTTTCTATAGAGGGTCATGAACAGAGATATGTAAGGAAGTACAGGAGGCTGATTGATACTTGACTGTGTCCGATAAACACTTGCCACTGTCTGCAGCCTGACCCCCAAAGTGCCATTTGCAGTCACATCAGGGACACTATTTCAGTGACATGTTCAGTCTGGAGCAGCAGTTGTCTGAAGGGGATTTTCGGTTTAACAACTTTTGGACAAATTCCACTTGTTTTCCTCTCCTATGCTTACTGATGGGAGGAAGGGTCAAGGCCAAAGATCAGACTCAAACTTTCTATCCACATCAACTTATAATGGTCTAATTTTCTCTAGTAAAATCTTTTAAGTTATAAAAGTGATGTTCTGAGAACTCAAAAATCTGCATTCTCTGCCCAGGCACTTGGGTTTATTTCTATCAGTGTGTATGCAGAGTACAAACTTGTCTACATGATCACCTTGGTACACCATAGATCCTCAGCACTGACTCCTACTGCCTGCTGAAGATGTCACTTCATGTCTGGGTTCCAGAGTCCTGAAAGTGCTCCTTCCCTAAGGAACACAGCTCCAGGGACACCCATAGCTCCTGGGGTTCCCTAAGGAACACAGCTCCAGGGACACCCATAGCTCCTGGAATTCCCTAAGGAACACAGCTCCATGCCCCAGGGACACCTGTAGCTTCTGGGGTTTCTTTTGTGTGGGCTTTGGGTGTTGTGTGGCTGCCCATCATCCATGGCCCTGTGAGATGCTCACCCACCAGAACACAAATAAATTAAGGCAAATACAGTGAATACAGCTGAAGAGAACGGAGCCAATCCTACATACAGAGGGTGTCAGCTGAGGGTCTGTGTGTCCAGCAGCCAGGGTAGTGCACATTCACACTTTTGCCTTGGATGGTGAAGTGTTCAAGTCCATTTGAAGCAATCTCCTGATCTATTGTTATCTTTTATGCTTAATCCTAATACTGTATCCAAAGCCCTCTGCATATGTTTATGTATTCAGAAATTGAGTTCAGGAAATTGCTTTAAATTAACTGTGCATTTGGATATATAATACAATTTCCTCCACAGCCAAACAGTATCATAAAACAACTGAAGAGCCAGGAAAAGCAGGAATATTTGCAAGTGTCCTTCTTGCACACAGCTCCTAGGTAATACGTGGTTAATTACTTAAAAAGAGGATTTTGAAAGAGATTGTTATAAAAAGATGTCTGTGTTTCACAGAGCAGATTGAGGTGATTTTGGATGTAATCAGGAGCAGTGAGAAGTTTTCATCTGACCTACTCAGATTACAATTATTTGGTGTTTTTGTGCAAGTCCATGTTTATTCTGAAAGCATAATATTTGATTTTGAGTAGGCAATAGAGCTGATGTAGCTGTGGTTAAGCAGTGAACCCTGCCTGCCTTTGCTGAGAAAGTTTTGCCTAATAGGAGTAGTGTCTGATGTGACTCTTCCACAATTGACATGAAAACCTGCTCTCCACATATTTGGCTGGCAACAAAGCCCACACACTGTGCATCCATAGCTTGAATAGGTTTTTTTATGTTTTGATGTTTTCCACCCTGGCTTCTTCTTGTTTACAGTTTTCTGTAAATTCTCATGAAGGTGCTACACTAATTGACACACATAATACTATCTTCCCAGTAAAAATTATTCAAACTGAATTTTGCATATTGGAATAATATTCTGGAGAGTCAGTTTGTTTTCTGGGAAAAGACTCAAACAAATTATTTGTTGAGATTGTGTTAGGTGAAGTTTTGGAAGAGCTGAACAGGGCAATGATACATCTGAGTTCAGCACACTGTTATTGCTTTCTTGGTTTTGCCTTCAGTTCTGCCTCTTATCATAGGTTTTTTGTTCCAGGAAATCTTGGAACCTTGTATTCTAATCTGACATTAGCATTAGTATTTTCTTTTTCAAAGAAACCCTTCATATTCTGAAGTGAATCTGCTTCTGCATTTCTTTTTTTGGCACAGTATTTCCCTAATGATGTTTGATTACTTTTATACTTCTTAAACCATCAAAACCCACTAAACTTACAGCTACCATTTCTAAATGTTGTGAATGGGTCTTCAGTTTTCAGTGTTGTTGCCAGTGCAACTAATACAAATGCAGGATTTGCTTCCGTGGAGCAAGGTGATATAGTCAGGGATTTATGTCATATTTTTACTAAAGATAATAAATAATTTACTTAAACATTCCTAATTTTCATTTGTAGAGGTCAAATCATGCATTTAATAGACATTTCTTGCCTCTGTATAAATACATATTCAGCTCTCAGTCCCTGAGTTCCTCTCATCTTTGCTAGCACCAGAACGAGTAGATGCAGAGGAGCAGCTTTATGTAACGTTTGTGTGCTGCTGACTGGGTGTGAGGGGGAGGCAGAGTCAGGGGTAGAGATGGTGACACTGTTGCTCTGTTGAGGAAACCCAAGGTGGTTTCTCAGGTGGTTTGTCTTTACCAGAATCAAGCCCTCTGTCTCCATAGAGAAGACTTCATGAATGCCACAGTAAAATATGAACTGAGGGAAAGAGAAAGCAGGTAACTGTGAAACAAAACCAAGCAATAGAGAACACATTCTTTTTTTCATGCTTATTTCAAATACATAGGCTTTGTTGCAAAAAATTAGGAAGGTCAGATTAAAATGGAAGAAGATTCAGCTTATGCATTTTATGAGAAAACAGGGCATTAAGAGATATCATCTTAATTATTCATCTGATCTGTGAAGACAGAAGAATTGATTGTTGCTGTTCCTCTGCTTACAGTGAGCAAAGTAGGTATGCAGAGTTTGACCCAGTCCAGGCAGTTTTCTTCCAAGTGTGTGAGAAGATATCACCTACAAAGGTGCCAGCTTTACTGAGCTTAAGGAGAGGCCAGCATCCAAGTAAAAAGTATTTCCCAACAGAAATGCAATGCTGCAGAGCACACTGCTAATGACTGTGTCCCACTTATTTTACTGTGTAACACTTCCGCAATTTCTGGGTCCTGGTTCAAGAGTGGCTCAGACTAAAGAGTGCCACCTACTCATTAAATTGTTTACTACACTAGCCATCTCTTGGAGTTTAATTAGAAGGTTTTTATGCAGCAACTATCCAAGTCTAGGTGTTATGAACTTATACTTCAAGCTGCTGTGGTTATATTGGCACATAAGATGATGATGTTGGGAATTGATTAGGATTTCCTTTCACAGCTGAGATCTCTGCTTTGACTGATGGTGGTCTGTCTCCTGGTTTCTGACCAAAGTATCCCTGAGTATTATCTTCATTCTCAGCCTCTGCAATCCATTAGTGAGGTGGCACTGATCTGCCACAGATCAACAGGAAAAGCAAATTAAGAGTTTGGAAGGCACTTGGGAAGGAAAGCCAGGTACTCCCAAGAAGTGGAACTGGCAGGAGAAAGGCAGGAGGGTTAAGTACTGTTCCAGTCTGGGTGTGGAAGCAGGGGTCTATGCAGAGGAATCCTTCTCTTTTTCTTCTTTCCCAGACTTCTTTTCCCACAAAGGAGCTGACATTCTTCTCCTCCACTCCCCAGTGAAACAAGACCTTCCATCCTCCCTGGGAAGATACACATATGTCCCCTGAACACATTTCTCACTGCCATGTGAGAAATCACTGTTCTTATCCCTCTACTTCTTCAGAGTTGAAGAGAAAAGAAGTTGGGAAAGAAAGAGCTTTCTCCTATTGCAGAAAAGAAGAGACAGAAATCCAAGAAGAAAGCCCCAGAAAACAATTTCCCTACATTTTTTCCTACTTTAAAGCCCACAGCTCATGAGTGGCATAAGGGCAATGATTGCTTCCACACATTCTAAGCTCTCCTATAATGGTAGCAGTCATGAAAACCTATGTAATTAGGAGATGGGGACTGGCTGCTGACACAGCTCATGCCTGTCCATGGATGCAAGGTAGGTGACTGTCACACCCTGCACCGGGCTCCTCTTCACATGGCCTCAAACTGGGCACAAGGTGAAA